CGGGAGATATTTTGTTGCTTTTTCTTTTAGTTTATTATCCATCCTTCTGTTGCTGCCCAAGGGCAGGAACTTTCTGTCTCTAAGTTAATGAGCACAGACCTCAGTGGCCCCCACCCCGCATTGTCAGATGCCTTGTCTGAATTAGCTCACTCTCCCACCTCCTGAGAGGGCTGTCTCTCACTTTCTGTTCCCTCCTCAATCCCCTCCACTCCCTCCCCACTCCCTATCCTTACTGATGAACTTCTGTTTTCACTCAGAAAATGAAAGAGGACTCAGGTAGAATGACATCATCCTCCCGCACTCCCACAGCTGCACCTGTATCCTCACCTTCCCCCCAGTGATGATGGATGGTCCCTCCTGTCTAAGGCTGCCCCTCAGGGAGGGCACAGGATGTGGCTCCTCCCTCCCCTGTATCAGCAGTTTCTGGCTCTCTTCTGGATCATTCCTTCTTGCCTACAGGTATGCTGTAATTCCTCCTACTAAAAAAATTAATAATAATCAACCTAAACTAAATAAATAAAAACAAGTCATCCCATAAAAACTGACCACTGTATGTCCTGCTTTATTGTAACTACTGCCCCATGTCTGTGACTCTCCTTACAGAACAGCTCCTGAGTCCATTGTCACTCCTACCGGGGTGTCTTTTCATTTTTGGCTAATGAACACATGCACATAGCTTTAAAGAGTAAAACACTTCTACAAGACTTGATATCAAGGCAGTTGATTCAATCTTCCACGCTGCCCCAATTCTTGAATCTCAGAGACAAGCTGTTTTACACTTTCAGCTGAATCTCTAATTGTTATTTCAATGCCTCTAGATAGCATGCTGTTTATAATACTCCTTTGTTTTTCAGCTTTATGCATCATCTTTAGTTAACTGGTTCTTCTTTCACACACCGCTGTCCTCCCAATACAATCATAATTTATAATTACAAATTTATCAATTTTGCAATTTTGATGAGCTCAATCTGCAATATTTACATTATTATGATGATGGACATGAAAGTCACAACTGAGCATTTAGTAGGCTATGACTACTTTCCTTTTATTTTCTTTTTTTTCCTCTCATTTTCTTGAATGAATTTTTAATTTTCCCAGGAATAAATAATTATTTTATTGTACTCATTTTAAACCATCCCCAAGCTCTCCTCAGAGTCTAGTCTTCCTGAACATCTTTGAGTACATCTGATATTCTACCAACTTCGTCTCTTTGCACAGCCCTGTCCCACAGCCCTCAGGCCTGCCTCGTGTGGAAGGGGTCCCTGCACACCTGGGGCTGGGCTGACGCCCTGGATCTCCTTCACCGCCTCCTGGGCAGCCCTCTAGCTCTTTTGTTTGGCTCCCCTGGGGCCTGGATCCCATGGCTTCCCCATTGTTGATTTACTCCACCATTTTCCTCCACTTTGCCTAACAGTATCCTGAGGAAAGGAACATGGAAAGTGAAACACTGTAACCCTGAAGGGCCTTAGGCTGCCCTAGGGCTGACTCACATCTTGACTAGATAAACAACTCTGTTGGAAACACTTATTCTTT